AGGTAATATATTTAAGGGTCATAAAAAACATGGTAATGAAGAAGAACTGTATCTATAGTGTAGATTCCAAAAACTCACATTCCAAGTTAGGAAAACTATGGCATCCCTAAATATATTAATTGTAATGTATGTAACATAACAATGTTAATAACCAGCAGTAATTTGGGCTTGCAGCAAACAGGAATTGTAATTGCATTACACTAGAAGCTTTGAAGTATTAATTACTGAAAGCATTTTGAAGGACTGACATGAAATACTACTTTATATTTTTTCCATTCTTGGCAAAAACTTCAGATAAAGATTTCCTTTCAATTTCAGTTTCCAGTACGCATATCTTGAAATTTGGAGAAAAGCAGTGAACCAAAAGAGACCTGAATATTTTCCACAAACTTCAGGGATCTTTCCACACCATTAGATGGGAAGGATAGAGAGTTTTCAGCCTTCCCTGTTCATCAGCATGTGAAAAGATGACACAACAGTGTCTGAGGCCACATGGCCTGTATGCCAGTGTCAGGGCACTGGTCAGCATTTAGGGGCTTTGAGGTTTGCCTTTGATCACAGGGGCATGGCTGTGGGCTCTACAGCAGCTTTCTTTGGGCTGGGATGTACACCACTGTGTATGCCTCTGCACACAACTCTCCCATGTGGCCAGTTACAAAGAATACAATGAATAATTAATTTGCATTCAAAAGGAGAGAAGATAATAGGATAAAAGCACAGGACATGCAATCACTTATTTTATAAAGGCATTTAATACTGCTTCACTGGGAAGATATAATTGCTCATTGCTTGTATATAGCACATCACCTTCAAATAATTGTTGATATTAGCAGTGATAAAATGGCTTCAGAGAGATTAAGTGACTTGTCCAGGACCAAAAAGGAGGCAAGTATGTGAATTAAGATGAGAAATCAGTCAGTTTCTGTAGGCTCAGTGCTCCAGTTCAAGCATAGAACCCAGTTCTTACAGCAGTATTCCATATTTACCTCTCTTTTACATTTTATCTCCTTCCTTTCTTCTAACTCTCACACCCATACAGTCATGAAAAATATTTTTAATTTCTCTAGTTAATTAAAAAGCAAAACCTAGACCTTGGCCCTTATGGTCCAACTCTTTCACAAAATTAAGACCAGTCCATCAGTTTCCTGTTCACTATTCTAAGTCTTCCACTGTGCAGAACAGTAGTATGAGGAAAAAATCCAAAGGTAGCTTTTCCTACGTATTTTAGTATTTAGCAGTTTCTAGAATGTTCCCCCCTTGGAGACAATTTCCTATTAGAAAGGAGATAGAGCTTACTCTAAATATAATCATTTTGAAACAAAAAAATACTCAGTAGTGATGAGTAATTTTTGACTTGTGGTTATTTTGCATGGCTGTTTCCTCTTTTTTGACCTGTATATCCTATATTTTCCATCTGTTCAAGCCATGATTTCCAGTCCACTGGAGCAAAAGCAATGGTAAAAGCATTTTGCCAGCAGCTCTTGGCCTCACTTCATGAATACAGTTCCAAGTCTTGCTGCCACTCAAGGTAGAACTTCTAAAAATAAAGGACTGTTTCAAAATAAAAATTTATACGATTTTCTCATAAGAGAGTTACATCGGGGGTGGGGAGGGAAGGGACCTTTTATCAGAGAGATCAGAGTAGAGAAGAGACCAGATAGATGCAGCACACCGTGGCTTTATTGATATGTACAATACAGGAGCAGAAATCATCAAGACCAACAACCACCATGGCGGGCAACAGCCACCAGCACACCGCTTTTTGTCCCAAGGAGCAGTGCTGCCATTGCAACCCGAGGACACAGCATGGAAATAGTCAGTATTCCCAGCACTGCCAGGTTAGAGAAGGAAAAAGGAGAAGGAGATAGATTAAGCGACAAGCTTAAATTCACACTGGAAGCTTACAAATTATTGGAATCCAAATCTGTGCCTGCAAGAAGAGATCTGATGTCGTCATTATATGACATCAGCTGGCAGTGCTGGCCATATTAACTCTTGTTAGTTTTAACCAGATGCAATGGATACCCAAAGAATTAATTTATGGTCTTTGCAAACTAAGGATCTAGCAAGGTTTTCCCTACACCCTTGGGATTCCCTTCTAAACCTTGGAAACCCAAAGCTGGAAACAGCCAGGAGTTTGTTAGAGCTACATCCTGCTTCTAAAGCGGCCTGTCGAAAAATCAGTCTGGTTAAACAAATCATCTTGAAACACATCATTTTTTTTTTCCCTACAGCCCTTAGACGTAACCTGAATATACAGTGGGTTTTCATGTGCAATCCTGCATTTTACCCATCTAGTTCATGTTGCCTAAGTGACATGGGCTTTTTCATTTAGAAATATAAAAAATGGCCATCAGTTGGTGAAGACCCATGCATTGTATGAGAAAAAAGGAATCATTTGGAAAATACAGAGGGACCTTCTGTGCAACAGCTGAAGCCAGAGACTGCTCTTCCTCTCCCCAAACTGCAGTTTTTTTTCCTTAGACTCACCACTTATGTCTGAGAGGACAATTGCTAGTTGCTTTCTCCCTTACAGCAGAAGATACACATAAGTTAGCAACCACCGAAAACTGAATTAGCTATGTACATGTCACGGAGGGATGAATGCAGAACACAAATACTACAATTCTGACCAAGAAAACAAGCAAACAAAAGCTTAGACATGCTGTAGACAAGCAGTAGTGCTTTAGAAGCACAGCAGAACGGACATTAGAGCGACTCTGATATTGCAGTAGATTATAGCCTGAAAAACAGTTACTGTTAGAAAAAGTGGGTCAAGAGAAATCAAAACTCATGACAGTGACATGAGTAACAGCAGGCTGTTACAGAAGTTTATGTGTTTAAAAGGTAACAAACTGATGTTTTCAAAGAAGAAATACCACATTTTTCATTTTGATACTTGCTACCTATTTTTAACTTTTTTGTGTGTTTTATGATACCTTAGATCTTAAAATAAAAAGCCAAAATTCAAAACACATTGTTTCCATTTTGTTCCAGAAAATTAATTTTAGAAGTATTCATTTAGAAGTTCAGGTATTCAGCTTTTATCCCAATTTAAACAAAGCAAGATTTTTGAAAATTTTATAAACCTACATATAATGTAATTATCATGGTTACAACTAGCTCCACTTTCAACCCATCACAGCTCACAGGAACAGAGGTACTTTGAAGTCAGATTTCTAAGACCTTGCATTAACAGAATAAAAACAATGAAAGGCTTTTACCTTAATTCTCTCTTAGATAGAAGAGACTTTAAATGTTTATATTTAAACCAATTTTCAAATGTAAAAGTAGTCTCCATGCATGTCTGAAATAACATTCCTTTAAAGTCATGAGTACACACAAGATCGACAGGCGTGCATGAACGCTTACTGTGGGGAACTCAGAGTGTCTGTCTTGAAATTAGCCACTCAGGAAACAACTCAAACCTGAGGTAGACTGACTTAGAAAATGAAAACCTGATATGGAAAGGAGAGTGGATGGCCTACTGGTGTTTGTCCTCTACCAGATGAAGAGGAAACTACTGTCCTCGAGTCAGCAACCAATGCTGTGGTTATTCAGTTTACATATCACACACTTGTACAGGAAAAGCGACTTGATTTCATGGCAAACCACTTCCCCCAGAAGTCTCACTCAAACTTCCCTGCAGATAAAAATTAAAAAAAATAAAAAATAAAAAATAATCATGGGAATTACTAGTTTGAGCCATTACTACTAAGTCAGTGGAGTCAAATCTGACTTACTCCAATGAGAGGAGCTGATATTGCAAAGCCCAATAATGTTGCATTTACAGCGTTGTGCAATTTTAATAATTGAGTCCTGAAACATATCTAGGTGACTTTAGCCAGAGATTTTTTTGAGTTTGAGATGTATAATCACCAGAGAAAACAGAGAGTATTTTGATTTGTTAGGCAAAAGCACCAAGCACCTTCAGCACCCAGCACAGCTATGGACTATGGTGCATCTGTGACATCTGCAAGAGCAGGGAGTTCACTGCTCCCCCCCTTATGATGCACCTCCTCTTTGGAGGTATGTTTCGTGAGCCTTCGTGAGCTTTGGCACCAATGGTCATTTCTAGGACAAATACCCAACGCCAGTCAGTCGATCTCAGAGTATGAAATTTACCTCCAGTTCTACAAGAGCTGACAAGAGTCATCGGTAAGGGATAAAAAGAACGGAATCAGCTCTACACACACCACTCTCCCACGTGTCAGCCACACAACCCTAGTTCCTAGTGCTGGAACACAGAGTGGCAAACTTGGAAAGACAAGACAACTGCACTGTCTCGCTTGCCTGTGATGCACATCTGCTCTCAGTTTGCCACAGCACAGTCTGATAGTCTTTGCTGTTCTTTCTTGTATTATATTGGTGGTCGCAGTCACCTTCCCACTGCAACTTCCCAACACTTGGAAAGCAACCAGGTGAACCAGTGTGGCATTTGATATTACATTCAAAAAACAACCACCACTCCCCTCAGGTATTTTTCATTTTCAAAAATGGTTTTAGCATATCAATAATACTTAGGAACCTTAAATATTCTATCAAACTGAACCAGGCTTACGACAAGTTGGGGGGAGATGTTTAAGCACCTAAATCCTACTCAGATGCCTAATTCTTGCTCACTTCCTATAAATACCTTTATGGATTTGAGCTTTACTATCTTAACATGAGTTCAATGAGAGATTAGGAGCACTGCAGACTCCAGCTGAGGAGACCATAAATGTTATATCCTGTTAGCACACAGATAGGTCCCAGCTCTACTATTTCAATTTTTGGAAGTACTCAAAGGACGACTTCAAGAAAAGGCCTTTCTCACTCAAAGAGATGACATCTCAGGCAATTCATACAACGGAAACATTGAGTCAGACAGCTGCAACACAATTTCTGTAGAGCAGCAATTGAAAGTTTCTTAGGTAATTTATACATGAGAAAGCAACTTCCCACATTGAGAGTAGAGAAACAAAAAAATAAAGTACCAGAGAAACACAAAACAGCCTTACCTCAGTGTGAACTGATCTTCTGTTGAATTTTTAGCAACAGATACAAAGAAAGTCAAAATGTCACCTTGCTTGACAGTCTTTGGTGCATACTGGATGGCAATATTATTATCCAATCTCATTTCATTTAAGGAAGGGGCAGCATGTGTCTGGTAAAGGAAAACACTTCCAATCCTCTGCAAGGGAGGTCCCGACTCATCAATGTCATTGCGCCCTGGTCGGATCCCATTACTTTTCCTTACATCCTCCTTGGTGCATTCCCCTTTCTCATCTCCTGGTTGTATGGCATAGTAAAGCTCCACAGGGCTCCCTTCAGATTGATCCATTGGTTTCTTACGGCCGGCAACAACCGTGGGGGGGTTAAACCAGCTTGGCAGGAGCTCCAGCTCTGCCACACACAACCCCAGATCCCCTTTCAGCCTGCAGCTGCCTCTGACTTGCCGTGTCTCTCGGAAGGCAAACACCCGCAGGCAGGGCAGCCGTTCCGTGGTGCTATAGTCATCCCAGTCCCTGCCCACGATGTAGAACAGGACCTGGACTTTGGGCTTGCTCAGGTAAATTTTGTCACTCACTATGAAGGCCTTAAGTTTCCAATTAAAGGAGAACTTGTTAGTAGATCCAAATGGATTTGAAGACAACATTAAGTCCTGGGGCACTACTTGTTCAATGGAAAAAGGTCCATAGCTGGCATTTAACACAGGTGGCCTCTTGGATTTGTAGATCAGAAAGGACTCCACTCGGGACTGCAAGCTAGAATTCCTCATAATATCCTGGTTGGCTTCCTTAAGAAAGAAGGAAACATCCGCATTGTGGATACGATAGGTCACGGGCAAGTAAGTTGGCAGTAAAGAAAATCTCTGTATACTCTCCAGGATCCCTCGACTCTCAGTCACTGTTGAAAGGAAAGGAGAGTTTAAAAGATCACATCTTCAAGTCATACTGTGATATAACCTCGCTGACTTGACTGAGGGGATTGACAGTGCTGTGGGTGATACTAGTGGCAACAGCAAGCATGACCAACCCATGCAGAAATAGCCTAGGTAGGTGATGATTTATCTGGGTAGCTTGGAAAACAATAGGTTAGGATATGTTCTACCTGCCACCTAGGTTAAAAGAAGTAGCTCGTGTAGGTTTACCCATGCCAAAGGTCCATCTTCATTTGCAATATACATTTATTATTGGAGAGCAAAATTACCCAGTCAGCATCTGCAACACAGGATCACTGCACAGGCACATTTCAAAGTGAATTTAATAACTAAAGCAAGCTGCATCTGTACCGGAAATCAACACAACGATTTTACATCAAAAGCTACATATGAACCACTTAGAGTTCATGTCAACCTTCTTTTCAGCACTCTCAAGCAATACATGGACTTTAAGAGGTTTCCTGCACAAGGCTAAGTTTCACTTTAAGAATAGTTAGCACAATAACCATTTACACAAAAGCTCCTTTAAAACACTCCAGTACTAGAGGATTTCAAAAGGAGCTTTATTTGTATCCAATTTATGGTCCCTTCTATTTCACTTCATCTATGAAAAGAGGTTTTTTTTCCTGTAAATAACTATCAGGATTCACTCCACTGTTGTATTAAGGAACAACGTAGCGTTAGACAACAACTGCATTATCTGTAGGCTGTACATCACTGCACATTGAAAGAATATTTTCAATGACACTGAGCCTCTCTTACTGCAAGATATCTATTTGAACTGTGCCATCGAGCAATTACCTGAGGCAGGCTATCATATTAAAGAATAAGCTCTCCATCCTTTCTAGGAACTGTCAGTCCCAAAGAGCAAAGACACACACTGTTCAAATACAGAGATGCAAACACAATATGACCTTTCCTATTTGAACATCTGACCTTTGTGCTTATGACTTCACACCCTAATTGTGAAATAAATTGCTTTTATTTTTTCCATAGCAAATTCAAATCCTTACCCTTATTCAGAAAAGTGACAAAGGGTTACCATAGACGCATTCAAAGGCAAACCAGTTTCCCAAAAATCAAGTCCACATATGCTTTATCATTCCTTATTTTATGTTTGGCATCTGACCTAAATATTTATTTGCTCATCAAGTACTGCAGTGGCCTAAACTGATGTCAGTTACTCCTAACTGCCAATCTACCATTTATGTACTGCAATTCATTGCAAGTGTTAGAACAGAATAGAAGAGGTTTGTTATTGTCAAATTCTATGGGAAGGTATTGTTAGTTCCTAAAACCCTCTGATTTCAGACCTCAAGTGTTCACCAAAAACAATCTGGAAAATGCTTCTCACAGCAGCAATCATCTTATCTAGTTGTAGGCTGTATAACCTGAAGAAGGAATTCACCTTTGGAGGGGAGGAAGTCACACTGATGCTACCCATAACCAGCACGTCAATCAAGGCTCCTCTGTTAACGCAGGAGATCTCACTCTGCCATAGAATTTATCCAATCTCAGACAAGTTGCTTTTCCTGTGCTGCTGTTCTATGTCCAACAATAAGGGTATTACTATTTCCCCTCGCTCTTGTCTGTGCAGACTGCAAATGCAACAGAGTTATCTTGTTCTTATATAAAAGAGCATCACCTACAATAACAAGGCTGTGATCTCACTTAAGGTCTCCAGGCACTGACAGAGGGCAAAATAAACTGGAAAACTGGAGCAAAGAACTTTCTCTATGGAAAAGCAAAACCAGCTGGCTATTAAAACAAACCAACCAACCCACCCACAACAAAAACCCCCAAACCCAAACAGAAACAAACCCTGGATAAGGGCGGGCATCGCTCACCTGTAGAACAGAAAGCACAAATCTCAGAACAAGAGAGGCCCGGAAGAAAGGATTGCAGAGCAGTTCCACAGTTCTGGAAATCTTTCTCTCCATCTTGAAAAAATGAAATTCCTTTTCCAATAAACAATTAAAATAAACCCTTACTTTTAAAAGTTTAATTAATGTCAACTCTTAAACCCCACCTGGAACTAGAAATAAATTCCATCTGAAGAATTGGGAAAGTGGCCTCAGCGCACCTTGTCATATGAGACTGTAAACGGCAACAGCAATAAAAGGCTGAAGTCCTGCGATCCCTAGAGATGGGAAATTCGGCTTAGATCTTGATGGAATTTAGAGGAAGTCACACCCAAGGCTTTTCTGCTTGTTTTTAATCAAGTGAAAACTGCAGAGATTCTTTGCATACAAAAGCATTCTCGATTTTAACCTTGGTCTTTTCCGCATTCAGCCCCCACTCTCCCTCCAGATATCCATTGAGAGCAGATGAAGTTTTTTTAAGACCTTTTTCTAGATAATCCCCCAACAAAGATTTCTAACGACTCTAAATGGCTTTGCTAGTACTGAGTTGCAAGGATGCAGCTCTCCCATTCAGCCCTAAGGCGAAATCTGTTCTGCTGTTGTACTCCTCAGATCACCCAGCCCATAACATCATTCCTCCATCTCATGTCCCATTTATAAATTCCACACTCATTTTGTACTCCTCCCAACAGCTTGGCAAAGCACCATTAAACACAGTGAGGCATCAAGGAGGCAACTCAGAGAGAGGAAAAGAGCTCAGGGTATTCAATTTTTTATTTTCCTTATTTTGATTGCTGCTTCCTTCCTCGCGTTCCGCAAGGAGAAGTACATTATTTTTATATTAAAACTAACAGAGTGTTTCATCTCATAATTTTTTAATCATTTATTTTAGTGCTTAATTATAGAAGGGATTAAAAAATCTTCCCTCTGTATTCCCTGTCTCCACAGGACAATGATCCTCAGAGTTTGTAAATCAATGACTCTTTGGAATAGGAGACTAACGCAAGCTAAAAAAAAAAAAAAAAAAAAAGGAAACAATCTCACCAGACAGAGCAGGGTCCAGGTTTCACTGGTTTTGAAATTTTGGGGCAATGGCAAACTGGTCTGCTCATTGTTGCACTTCCCTACCATCAAGCTGTGGACATGCACTGAATATGAATTGCCTTGTGCTAGAAGCTGACAGCAGCTTTCCAAACAGCCAAAGGCCAAAAATTCAAACAATTTTACACTTTTATCTGGGGAGAGTTATAATCAGCATAAACAGAAAAAAATTCACAAAAACTTTACTGAGCTCTGCAGTACCATCTGGATTTTGACTGTGAAAGTTTAAGGATTCTGAAGGATAGGAAATTAAAACCAAAAACAACTATCAGTGTCCTTAATTGCAACCATGACTATTTCTGTAGAAGTTATGCATGTTTTTACAAAGGCAGAATTGCAGAAGATTACAATTTCATATGTTACTGGGCGAGATTCAGCATAAAAGTGGAGTTTTAAAGATTTAAGTCATATCATCTACCCTAAATATTACATCAGATCTATACCATCATAACCAAAATTCCACAGGAATAACCCACCTGAATAAATAAGACAAGAATCACACAGTGAACCTGTCAGTCTAAATATGTCAAACAAAAAAAGGATGAGTAGCTGAAGCACTGTTAAGGAAACAACATCAAGACAAAACCCATACAGTTAAATTTGGGAACTGTGAGGTATCTTTACTGTACCACTATATCTGAAGGCTTGTCTACAAGGAGACGTTGACAGCAGAATAACCAAGAGTGCAGTGCATTAAGTAGCCTTGCTAGTTCTCTGTGTGGATGTACAGCACAGAGCACGTCACACTGTCAACAGAAAAACGAGCCATATCAGATTAAAACAAACTTTAAGGAGTTTAATCTACCCATGGAAGGACAGATTCCTACGATCCATATGAGATCTGCTCATACTGATGCTTTGAACTGATTAGTTGTGGCAAGCTGTAAGATCAGTTTATCTCAAGTCGAGATGTTGCAGAGGAAAACCAGCTTCTTCCAGAGGACCACAGCAAGCGACGTCCCACGGGGCTACTGAATCTCGAGGGACTGACCCTCAACTGGCACAAACTGCTTCGCTGCAAGGTCTGGTGAAGACAATCTACTGCAACTGCAGAGTGGTGCCACAGCATTCTGGATTCAAGAGATGATCCTCAACAGTGTGAAGCAAACCACTAAAATCTAATTTTGATGCTGTGCTTATGCCAGGAGCTATTATTTCTCAATCCCTTACCACTACGTCTGTATCTGACCTCTCATGCTGTGAATGGTTTGTTGAGGATTTCAATCAGTGGCCACCTGGGAAGAGATGCTGTAGTAGAGTGGTTTTCTTTCCTCTCTCTTTAGTAAATCTTTCCCTGACAGACACTGTTTAAAAAATACTTGTCATCAATGGAAGAAGCAAATTCTTTGCAGGTCGGTGAATGTGAAAAAATTCCAAGAAAAAGGCAGCATATTCAGTCTCCTCCCCCACAGCCAACGATTGCACATATGACATATCCCTGAACACGACATTGTCAATAAGCTGTATTTACCTTCTAAAAGGTAATACTGCTTTCTTCATTAGGCTATTAATTTTGTACTGCAGTCTGGCTCAAAATCTTAAATCTTTATTTCTTTAACATCATGTAACAGCAGCTCTCAGTCAATGACAAAAACACTATTCATAGCTCAGCTTTACTGCAAAGTTATTGACCGTGGCTTCAGAAAATTGAAGAAATCTGCCAGACCACTAACTTCATTCCATATTGCCAGATCCTTGAGACTTCATATGATGCCCTAGCAGTTACTTTATTTTTGAAAGTGTTCAATCCATGATCATCCAGCATTCATGAGAAATAAAACACTTTTCCAATCAATTATCTAATGCTACTATTAAAAAAAAAAAATAAACAAAATTGCCTTAACTTCTTAGGAAAACTGCCTTACCAGCTGCAAGCTCAGACTGGTAATGCAATAGATGATGTTTGCTGCTGTATCTAGGGGACTGAGATAAGTGGTTCTTTTCAGTCTGGCCAGAAATTTTACTTTTTTAGTTAGTTTCAGCTGTTCTCCTTGAATCTCCTG